ATCTCAATTGCATACTCCTCGCGTCCTCTCTCCTCAAAACTCATCGAATGCGAATGCCAGAGGTCCCCACACCTCTGACCTTCTCCTCCAATGGGGTTTGAGGAGGCGAGAAGACGCGAGGAGTACGTAATTGAGATTCTCCCTATGTCAATTGGAAAAGTGTTGTAGGAAATATATTTCTATCTGAAACGTTCTACAACGTTGCACTTCTGAACATGCCCCAAACATCCCATTGGATGTCTAAAGAACTAGCGCCCCTCATGGAAGGGAACAAAGTGAGCACCAAAATTGCACTTAAAATTAGTAGAGTAGTTTCATGTCTGTTTTCTATCGTTTCTCACTGAGCAGTGGTATTAAGACGTCATACCCACATAAGAAAATGTTTTCTGGATGCCTATTTGTTCAAATCATAAAACCTCCTACTATAGGCTATGTATCAAAAGCTATTTCAGAAATTGTTCATAATAAAAGACTCAAGACAAGCATAGAGTATAGGAACACATTTTATTCCAATTTAAAACAGATACTTTTTCTTTCAAGGAGAAGGCTATGAAAATCATTTTCATGTTTGAATGAGGTTCAGGCAACAGTGGTTGAAATGAAACATACAAAAGAGAAATATGGCTAAAATACTGTAAATCAATAACCATTGGGACCCTTTTCTGGAGGGCTTTCCATTAATACCATTTCCTCCCCTTCCAACCCCAACAAACACATGCAATTAAAATGACATTTCTTTAAAAACAGCAGTTCATCATTAATTTTAAATACAGAATAAAATTGTCCTTTTTCATTCATTTTCATTTATTTATCTTAATCACATACTTAGTGTTTATTTGTTTTAAAAATTTGACCATGAAATACATAGGTCCTTTTTATGATTTTTCACATTGGCACTTGTTAAGAGTCTGGCTCTACAAACAAAGGGGATTGGCACACAACTTATTGTACATCATTTACATTTGGTATACTTAAAAAATAAAACAAAATACATTACTTTCAATTTATACACCACTAGACAAAGTTTATTTAACCTCTTATTTAAAAAAAATCTATCATATTAAGTGGTCCTAAATACAAGTGTTCAGGTAATGTCAGACTTACAAAAGAAACAAAAAGATGCAAAGATAGCTTTTAGTATGTCTATGCATCAATCACATCAGTATCGATCTCAAGCAAAAGCATTAACCATCAAAAGTGTACACACATCTCATAGTACCGACAAACGTGCTTGTAAGTTGCATGAATGCAGGCAGTCCCATTGCTGCAGCGCAGGTTCAGTGCATTGACCCGGGAGAAATAAAATATTATAGATCAAGTAAGGGGAGAGAACAGCTGACATTCTAAAAAACACTATATTAATTAATTCACTGATGAATCCAACTGCTATACTATATTGCCCTTTCGGTACCTTCACTTGGCAAAGTATTACAATAAATAAAGCTGAAGTATAACAGGCTTATTTCAAGGGGAACTGAATGGAAGAGTGGTTGCAACTGTTTGTATATAATGCTATTCAGTCTATGGCATGAACTTGCTTCTAGTAGTGTATCCCTTCAACAAACCCCACAGTGCTGGTTTTAGTGCTGACAGTACTTCTCTTACTAGATATTGTGACGTTCAATTAGTGTGCTATTCAGGGTGGACATAACACTGAGCTACATACAACACACTGTCCATAGCTCACGTGGTGAAAACCAGGGTACTTGGTATAAACCGACACTGACTGTATGCCCAGAAAACCCATGGTAGCGTTTTCATATTTAACAGCAGGGGAGGGAGGCCTGCACTGGACTTTTTTTGTGTGTGTGGGGGGGGGGGGGGGGGAGCTGAGTAACCACACAGCACATCATACACCTCAAACCCACTGGACCACAAGCTGATGCAGATGCCTACAGTGAAGAGAGTAAAAGGTCTACAATGAAACAAAAGAAACGCATATAATCACTTACTGGGGGGTTTACACACATGAAGAGAGTCCCAGCATGAGTGTTGTGTGTAGAACTAAACCCTACTCTACCTAAGCAAGTAAACCACAGGTCAAAAGGGGATGGAGTGTGCTTCTTGAGGTAACAGAGCAGCAGAGAAGCTGTAACCACTAAAACAATTCAAAAACAAGCTGCCGTGGTGGAGATCTAAAGTACCAAAGGCAACATCATCTCAGTCCAGCCTGCCCTGGCAAGATACCTTCATACTCTTGAGAGAGAACTGACAACTTGCCCACAAGCTCAACCAAGACCATCCATTCTGGCAAATGCAATCAGGAACAAAAGTAAAATGTTCAAATGTCTAATTAAGTCGAAAGCCGCATCTGCAGTTCATCATATTTCTGCTTTAAACGTACACTTCTCAAATAATGCGGTATAGAAAGTATTGGCTGTGGGAACATTAATTAAAGGCCATCAAATGCAAGTTGTGCAGCACCAAACAACTCTCTACCATCTCACAAGCTCCCTTTACGACAATGCCACATTCACTCGTGGCTTGGCCAAATTACAAGGCATTACAAAATGTCCAACATGTTTTAAACTTTTGTAATGCAATACTTTCCACCTCCAGTAAAAGCAACATTTATAGATGTTTCCATTAGTTGCACCAACCATTCAACAACTCAAGTTTATGTTATGAGGCAATGTAGAGGGAAGGTACAATTTTGATTTTTCAGCCAGGCTAGTATACAGTGGACATATTAGTAAAGGGGACTGAAGAGTGCTCTCAGGGGAGACCCAAACCAACATTATGGGCAAAACATCCCTAGGTTGCAGTTCAATGTACTTGTAAATGCACAGTTAGATCTTAAAACAGAGCACAGACATAACTTGGCAGGGTAAGTGCTTGACATGTAGACTGAGAAATACTTGGGCACCCTACATCCCTTTCTGCCATTATTTTTGGCACCAAAAATACAAGATATGAACAACAAGTCTGTCATGATGATAACTCTAAAGTTTTTCTGTTAAGTTTCACCTAACCATTCTAACCCGAAGCTCTTTGGAGTGCAAATAGCACTGTGGCAATCAAATGTCTTTCTAGAAAATACCCGTCATGGTCATTCTTAGTGTACAAAAGGTCAAGCATAGAAACATGACTAGCAGGGGATGTAAATAAAACTATCCACAACAATGGAGTAAAGACACGCTGAAGAAGACATGATTCGTGACATGAGTGGCAGGTGGAAACGGAAGAGCACACTGAAGATTGGCTGAGACAGGCAGCTGTGAGATCCCCATCACCTTGTGGTTTTACTAAGCTCTGCTCTGGGCCCAAACAGGCTGTTAAAATTTTACAGGCAAATAGCCAGCAGAATTCATCCTCCAATGCTAACTGGCGTCCCTGGACAGTATGCACTCTGAACCTGTGGCAATGGCCTTTCCACCTGGCGTCAACACACCCCAACACTGGCTCCCTGATTCATAAAACCACTTTAAAATTGCACCTATTGCTCTATATCATCCATATAGTCATTTCATTCTCTGTCAACTTTGCTAGTAGTAGCCCTTGTAATGAAAACTCACCTGAATTACGTTGAAGACAAAATAGCAAATCTATTGACATATTGTTAGCTATGGAATCTTAAGAACTATCAAGCAAGAGATAAGATATGGGATTAAAAAACAAAAAAACAATACCAGACAAAAATCTTAAATTACAAAAATGCAAGCATGGACCAGTTAAAACTTCAACCACTGATAAGTGTATTTTTTATTTTCCTATTTGCATAAAGCGCCAACCCTAAATGGAAATTCATCTTCTCAAGCATTTCAAAACTGAAACGGAACAGAACTGCAACAACAAAGTATGAAGTCTCTAAAGAAAGGTAGAACCCTCCCCCATCTGATGGACACACTTCGATGGAAGCAGAGAGGAAGAGTCAGACTAACAACAACATCTAGAGATCTGGTCCATAAATTAGACAAATAAAAAAATATTATTTACTCTTAATAATAACTAGTTTCTCAAAATATTGGCCAAATAGGAAACAAATATCTAATACCTTTACAAAAAGAAGCTGTACTGACATTGTGTGTGGAGGACCAACTTGTGACTTAAGTTAGCTGGAAAGCGGTAGTAGCAATAGTAGTAATCAATAAACTAAAACAATTCTTAATATACACAGATCAATTTACTTCATCTCTCCCACCCTTGCTCTGTCTGTGTGTGAGCATCCACTTGATTGTATTACACACACTTTTTACATTCAACAGTGCAAGGTGACTTCCAGCCTGGGGTGAGGTGTGTTTTTTCCACACACCTCAAAAGACCATGTAAGAGTAGAGCTTCCCACCACAACTCAGCATCACCTGTCCCTGCTCTGATGAAATTCTATGCAGTTACCCACAACCCCCCATAGACTGGTGGGTCCCCAGCCCCCACTCCTACCCTGTAGACAGACCCTGCAGAGGGTGAAGGGGGGGGGACACCAGTTTTTTCCTGTTCTCCTAAACCTCAGCTCATTTCTCCTTCCTTTAAATCACACCAGCCACCAAATCAAAACAGACCTCTACCTACCCACCCCCAAGCCCCCCCCCTCCCTTCCCCTGCTTCTTTAAGAGGGGTGACCCAGAGGCCTGAGCCGCATCGGTTGACAAATGAGAGCTGTCAACCACCCAGGCAGGTCAGGGCAGCCTCCGAGCAGATGTGCGTGTGTATGTGTGTGCGTGTGTGTGCCATCAGGAGGGACGTGGGCTGCAGTGGGAAGGGAAGAGAGGAATGGGGGGGAATGACTGGAGCTGAAAAAACACACCCAATTAAACCATAGACAAGAAGCAGGAGGATGTTGGGGCCAGGGGTGGATAGATGTTGGGGCCAGGGGTGGATGGGCCTGGGATCTTTTACGTATGTGTGATCTAGTGTGTGTGTGTTTATATGTATGTTGGTGCATGAGTCCACGTGTGTATGTTAGTGCAGGTGTGCAGATCTGTGTACTGTTTAATTGGTTGGTGTATAGATGTGCACTCTGCTGTGCGTGGGCTGCAGGTCTCTCTCTCAACTTCTCTCTCTCACACCAGGTTGTACTCTTTGAGGTTGAGCTGCAGGATGGTGTCTTTGACTGCGGCGAACACAAAGCGGATGTTCTCGGTGTCCGTGGCGCAGGTGAAGTGGGAGTAGATGATCTTGTCGCTGTCCGGGTTCAGGTCCACAAACATCTTCAGGATAAACTCCCGGCCCGCCTGGGCATCTCTCTGGGGACCTGGGGGTACACACACACGAGTGAATGCGCGCATACACACACACTTATTCCAAAGCTACAGGCAACGGGTACACATCACTGTGTCCCTGTGCTACCGGCGAACACACATGACATCATTTCAAATTGAATGGAAGAGATGTTACACATGATCTCAAAAAGTAAGTGATTTAAATCCAAGAAAGAAAATAAAGTAGGTGGCCAGTACGATGCAGAAAAACTTCAGTTAACTATTTACAGGTAATATAAAGAAAGGGAGAGATCAGCCTATGGTATATCATATCAGGACAGACTACTAGAGTATTCAGGCAGCAATGTGGACGGAAGCTGACGTGTCTCTAGAAATAGAGGTGGGGACAATGTAAACATTACGACAGGAAAATAAACTATATACAAAATACGTACAATGTTATCAAGTCAATGTATAAAGGCAACATGAATAATAGCGCACAAGAACATATACAAAGTGAGTGCATAAAAGGAGGGCCTATTTGAATAGCGTGCGTGAAAGGCAGCTTATGCACTGGTGTGTAAAACACATTCTATATAAAGACGCACATAATAGGGGTTATCAAAAAAGTCAGTGGAACAAGGAAAAACACAAGGCTAAATGGAACAACTTTACTCATTCTGAGAAACAAGCCTTTAACAATCTCCAGAATGACACCTCTATAGTAACCCGCCCAGCGGACAAGGGAGTGGCTGTTACGGTACAAGACTACTCCGTCTTTAAGACTGAAATACTCAGGCAATGGAATGATCAGACATTCTATAAAAAAGACTTACTACAAATCCCACAAAACAGCTTTTGGCTGAAATTGAACAAACTCTCACTGAGGGCCTGCGCAAAGATGAAATCACCAAAAGAGAACAGATTCTTGGTGCATAAAAACAGCTCCACGCCGGTAATCTACACAGTCCCTAAAATACACCAAAAAAAATCTGAATCCCTGGACGACCGTGTCAGGCAATTACTCCCCTTTGGAACCAGTCACAATTCGTGGACTACTACATCAAACCATACATACAACGTCTGCCCTCCTATGTGAGAGACTTGTCTGACCTTATCTTACCTGCAATAGAACCCACCCAATACACACGTCGTCACTCTGGTCTCCTTTGATGTTGAATCACTGCATATCAACATCCACCAAAATTTTTTTGAAAAGGACTTCTACCTAAAATGAAAATGAGTTGCAATGGGTGCTGCTATGCATTTGAAAGATAGTGTTTGAGCCCCAAGTCAACCCTTTCCTACCGAACGTCATGGGTTGGTACAGGTATATTGATGACATACTGATGCAGTGGACAGGTAGTGACCAATAAACTTTGACTTGATTTATAGAAAAGAAACCGAACAAACACATTACTATTGGTTACCAGCTACCACCCGAGCACACAAAACAAATCTCCCTGTCGGGCAGTTTGCTCGTCTCAGGAGACTGTGCTCGGACAAAAATTAGTTCATTGAAAAAGCCAGTGACATGAAAGTAAGGTTTACTGAGATTTTTGTGACAAATCACTCGCTCAATGCTAAACCTCGTTTAGATCTATTATTGAATAATGTGGCTATTGAGGAAGTTGAGGAGACTAAACTGCTGGGTGTAACCCTAGATAGCAAAATGTCATGGTCAAAACAGACTCAATGGCTGCTAAAATGGGAAGAGGTCTGTCCATGATAGGGCGTTGCCCTGCCTTCTTGACATCTCAGTCGACCAGACAGGTCCTACAGGCCCTAGTTTTGTCACACCTGGACTACTGCTCAGCTGTGTGGTCATGTGCAGCAAAGAAGGACATAGGTAAATTGCAGTTGAACAAATCAGCACTTATCGCACAGATGTACACGGACGGAAAGTTTCAGTAACATGCATGTCAGTCTCTCCTGGCTCAAAGTTGCATGACTATTGGTCTTTGTGCGAGGTATTGATGTGTTGAAGGTACCAAACTGTCTGTTCAAGCAGTTGGCACACAGTTCGGACACTCATCGGTACAACACAAGACATGCAACCAGAGGGCTCTTCACAGTCCCCAGGGTCCAGAACAGAGGCTGGGAAACGCACAGTATTAAATAGAGCCATGACCACATGGAACTCTGCCACCCCAGGTAACTCTAGGTAGCAATAAAACCAGTTAAAAAAAACAGATAAGAGAACACCTTGCTGCACAAAGGGGACTGTGAAGAGACACAGCCATTTTATATATCTTTTATTGTAATTTCCACTGTACTATGTATTAGACCTAGATATTGTGTACTGATATGTAGGCTATGTGTGACATTTTAAATGTATGCATTTCAGTCCTTGACTAATAATGTTCTGTACTATGCATTATGTCATGTTTCATGTGGACCCCAGGAAGAGTAGCTGATGCTTTTGCAGTGGCTAATGGGGATCCTAATAAATACCAAATACCAAAATGTAATAAAATCAGCATACAAGAGAGTGCTGTATTCACACAGACATACTGCTACAACCAAGAAAAAAAGAATCCAATAATCCCCATGCCAACAAAATATGAGTCCTACACAAACATTGGAGTGAAACCTTCATTGATAAACCCTTTGTGGTAGGCTTGGGAGGTATACCGTATACCAGGGTATTTGGAAATAGCCACGGGATGGTTTTTCAATACCGTCAAACCTACTTATTTGAAGTTAAATACATTTGAATTTTTGTAACTCCTTTTTAAGTTAATACCTGCAGTCAACTTGTGCAATACATTAGGAGATAAAGCAGATTGCGTTCATTTCACCCGTCACATTATTTTACATTATGAAGCTTAACACAGTTCCCCAGAACAGATGAGCCAGTTACGTGTTTGTTTGTAAATAGCACAACGGGAGAAAGCGGGAGCTGGTGAGTCCAGCTGTGTATTTGGTTTAACTTGCTAGTTATCTAAGTAAGTGGCTGAATTAATAAGGAGACGGGCCATCATATAGTGTTATCTTTCTGCCCTGTTTGAGAAGTCAAAGTGCTTTAGATTAGTTATCTGTACAACTGCCAATGCTATCTTGATTTCTTTGCGGGGTTTTTTGGGCCGCTCAGTCTGCTCCTCCCCCCCTCTTCTCGGAGTCGCTAGGTCCGTTGCCCTAGCGACTCCACAGACACAGCGTGTACACTTTTTCGTTGGCACTCGTTAGCAGCTGTGCCTCCTGATATTACATACACAAACGTATATGAACACCCCTTCAAATTTGTGGATTCGGCTATTTCAGCCACACCCGTTGCTGACAGCTGTATAAAATCGAGCACACAGCCACGCAATCTCCATAGACAAACATTGGCAGCAAATTTGGCCTTACTGAAGAGCTCAGTGACTTTCAACGTGGCACCGTCATAGGATGCCACCTTTCCAACAAGTCAGTTGGTCCAATTTCTGCCCTGCTAGAGCTGCCCCGGTAAATTGTAAGTGCTGTTATTGTGAAGTGGAAACGTCTAGGAGCAACAACGGCTCAGCCACGAAGTGGTAGGCCACACAAGCTCACAGAACGTGACCGCTGAGTGCTGAAGCGCGTAAAAATTGTCTGTCCTCGGTTGCAACACTCCCTACCAAGTTCCAAACTGCCTCTGGAAGCAACTTCAGCACAAGAACTGTTCGTCAGGAGCTTCATGAAATGGGTTTCGATGGCAGAGCAGCCGCACACAAGCCTAAGATCACCATGTGCAATGCCAAACGTCGGCTGGAGTGGTGTAAAGATCGCCGCCATTGGACTCTGGAGCAGCAGAAATGCGTTCTCTGGAGTAATGAATCACGCTTCATCATCTGGCAGTCCGATGGACGAATCTGGGTTTGGCGGATGCCAGGAGAACGCTACCTGCCCGAATGCATAGTGCCAACTGTAAAGTTTGGTGGAGGAGTAATAATGGTTCGGGCTAGGCCCCTTAGTTCCAGTGAAGGGAAATCTTAACGCTAAAGCATACAATGACATTTTAGACTATTCTGTGCTTCTAATTGTGGCAATAGTTTGGGGAAGGCCCTTTCCTGTTTCAGCATTACAATGCCCCCGTGCACAAAGCGAGGTCCACACATAAATGGTTTGTCGAGATCGGTGTGGAAGAACTTGACTGGCCTGCACAAAGCCCTGACCTCAACCCCATCGAACACCGTTGGGATGAATTGGTATGCCAACTGCGAGCCATGACTAATCGCCCGAGCAGGTGTCCACATACTTTTGGTCAAGTATTGTACCATAGGCTTATCTGCTCCTTTCCATATGTAGTCTCTGTATATATTACCTGTAAATAGCTGACTGAAGTTTTTCTGCATCGTACTGGCCTCCTACATTACCTGCTATAATTTAAATGCAGAATAATTATAGAATGTAAAGCATGTTCTACCTATTTGGCTAATGGATGGTGTGAATGTGTATTGCACTGCAGTTCATTGTCTAGCCACATGGTGTCCCTATATACTAACAAAAGAACATTCAGGGCCGTTTTCATGCCACCTTTCCTAGAGACATTGACATTTTTTTAAATGAACAATGTTACAATACAGAAATTACTACAATATGCATTATATTTGACAATTTGCCTCAGTAGCTGCCATGGTACTGGACATGGCCACATTGGCCAGTGCAGAGAGTTAGTAGATAGGATAGGATAAAGGTAAAGAGCAGTTTACCATCAAACTCAGGGAAGTAGTCAACCAGGTGGGAGTAGATTATCTTCTCCTCCAAGAGGTCCTTCTTGTTGAGGAACAGGATGACTGAGGAGTTCTGGAACCAGGGATATGTGATGATGGTCCGGAACAGAGCCTTGCTCTCCTCCATCCGATTCTGACAGAGAAAAAGGAGGGAGGGAGAGAGAGATCGGGACAGAGAAAAGGGGAATGGTCAGAACATGCTTAACCCTTAGATGCACAACCTACGGAACCTACACCTTTGCACAATGTGGGCCTTTTACTTGGTTTATAAAAATGTGTGGACAAATACTGACCAACATGATAAATGAGACCAATCAGACAGGTTTTAATGAAAAAACATGTTTTTATATTCTAAGCATTTGAAAATACGCCAATTATCATTAGCATTTTGTTTCTCTAAAATCAACCAATCCATTGGCCCTAAAAGTAAATGTTCTCTTTTCCTATGAAGAAATTACCCTTTAAATTATTTAAGCTTGGCCATTGTGGAAATGTGCAACACAACTGCCCTGCACACCGCTATTTCAGTATCCAGAATCCACATATGGATGCTTTTTTTGATGTCATTTATGAGCTCATACACTTCATGACCAAAAGTATGTGGACATCTGCTCGTCGAACATCTCATTCCAAAATCATGGGCATTAATATGGAGTTGGTCCCCACTTTGCTGCTATAACAGCCTCTACTCTTTTGGGAAGGGTTTCCACTAGATGTTGGAACGTTGTGGTCCTCTGTAGCTCAATTGGTAGAGCATGGCGCTTGTAACGCCAGGGTAGTGGGTTCGATCCCCGGGACCACCCATACGTAAAAATGTATGCACACATGACTGTAAGTCGCTTTGGATAAAAGCGTCTGCTAAATGGCATATTATTATTATATTATTATTGATGCGGGGGACTTGCTTTCATTCAGCCACAAGAGCATTAGTGAGGTCGGGCACTGATGTTAGGTGATTAGGCCCGGCTCGCAGTCGGCGTTCCAATTCATCCCAAAGGTGTTCGATGGGGTTGAGGTCAGGGCTCTGTGCAGGCCAGTCAAGTTCTTCCACACCAATCTCGATAAACCGTTTCTGTATGGACCTCGCTTTGTGCACGGGGGGCATTGTCAAGCTGAAACAGGAAAGGGCCTTCCCCAAACTATTGCCACAAAGTTGGAAGCACAGAATCGTCTAGAATGTCATTGTATGCTGTAGTGTTGGCTGAAATAGCCTAATCCACTCATTTGAAGGGGTGTTCACATACTTTGGAATATATATATAGTGTCTTATTCAGAGACACTGGTTGATTTATCCTGATGCTCCAGAACTTTTTTATAATTTCAGTCAGTAGTTTTGAAAGTGGTGCTCACTAGAAAAAATAGGTCCCCCTTGTGTGTACTACATCACATTGTGTACTAAGTCATCCATTTCATATGATATGTTACGTCCAATTCGTATGATATGTTACGAATCTAATTCGTTTGACATGTTACTCATTTGTTGTGATTAAGATCCTGGACTGCATCTTTAATTTCAGTTCTAACAAAATAGTCCATCTTTCACCACATTAAAGTGGATTTAGCCTGCATATCACTCAATTCAGTGTAATTTGAAATGCCTGACTGCTCGATAAAATCATAATGATACTGTCCAGTGGAACAATCATACCCTTACTGAAAAAAACAGGCTTCTGGCAAACAGTTGTGGCAAATCTTTAGCCAATTTGCTAATTTTCACATGCAAATTAGTTTTGTGGCAAACTGTTGCAGCAAATTTGAGGCGACTTGTGAACTTCTGGCAAACAATTCAGGGAATTTTGTGGCGCACATTCTACTGTTTGCTGCAAAGGATTATGAATATGCAAATTGATCAGGTTTTTAGTTACTTTGAGTATTAACAACATTACAATGTCTGATCTACATAAACCAAATCACATAACTTTAAATTAACTTTCTTTTCACAGAGAAAACGAAACATACCAAATATACTAAACAACATGTATTCAATGTATTAAAGGGATACTTCTGGATTCTGGCAATGAGGCCCTTTATCTACTTCCCCAGAGTCAGACAAACTCATGGATACCATTTTTATGTCTCTGCGTGCAGTTTGAACGCAATTACTAACTAGCATTAGCATAATGACTGGAAGTCTACGTCATGCTAGCAGATACCATAGCCTTCCAACGCTAGTTAGCATTGGCTCGCAAAACTACCATCAACTTCCTTCATACTTGACATAGACATAAAATTGGTATCCACGAGTTCATCTGACTCTGGGGAAGTAGATAAAGGGCCTCATTGCCAAAATCCTGAAGTATCCCTTCAACAGATAAAAAAAATCCAATACAACTTTATCCATCTCACAATGAAAACATTATGCCAAGTGGTACAATATTAACCTTGAAATCATCAGAATGTTAATGAATTAAAGGTCAAAGACTGAATATTTCCCAAATCTTTATTTAATCTTTGTATGTAGCTACAACATTTACATGAGAGAAATGTGAACACTATGGGTATGTTAACCTTAGGATGTTTAAAGGGGCAACTACAGAATGTACATAAGCCAAGTGATAAGTGAGCAATGAGCTTTCAACCAGTGGAAGTTCAAAAGAGAATGAACAAAATGTAAGTAATTAAAAGATAAACAAAATCAAACCCAGTTCAGAACTATTGCCTTTTTGAGTGAACTTTGTAGATGGCGGCCCTTTGGAAGTCCTTTATCCAAATTGTTGAATGCATGCAATGAAAACACAAACCATTAAGATGTTGAAAGATATAATTTCTATTTTGGCATCTTTAAAGGTAGAGTCAGCGGGCTAACTGGCAGGTTTCTGCCTTGTGCTATATAAACAAATGATGTAGCTAGCATAAACTGGGACTTAGGCCTACTAAATCTACCTTTAAATGTGTGGCCAACTGTTCCTAGACAGCTACAGTAGTTTGCATCTTTATTCTAGACTGAGGATTTCATCATCAAGAGTCAGTGGTCTTCTTCCTGACTCAGATGTACAAGGCTTGGTTAGAAGAAAAGCAACATAAAATTGAGTTATGCCTAATATGGCAATTTACATTAATTTTGCAAAATGAATTATTAACTTACATCAAGGCCATGCATGAAAGAATTGACCTTGTGCACACATTTCTCTATCCTCAGTTTAATTGAAGGCCACAATCTGTAACTGACTGCCTTGTAACTGCTTGCTTCTAGAAAGAAAGCAGACTAACGATCAAGAACAGCTAGCTAATAGTTTAGCAATGATGATCTAATTGTTCCAAGGAATGAATGTATAGGCACATTTCTTTTGAAAAGTACATGCATTTGCTTACCTTATCAAGCTTAAAGACGATACACTCATTTATCACAAAAAAATTGTGTTTGAGTGAGTGCACCACAAACATCTTTCCAGGGTGTTGATGCATCCTCTTCCAACACCACGGGGTAGGGGAAGGGTATTCTTCTGCAAAAATGAAGTTTTGCTTTGATGTCAAGTCAGCTTATATTGTTGCTACCTTAGCTGTTGTGCTATCTAACATGCTAACGCTACTGAACTGTGACACTAGCATCATCTTCACCTAAAAATATAAGTGTTTAAGAAATCCAACAAATCATTAGTTAGCTAGCGAGTTATCACATTAATTGTGCATAAATATGATAGATAATGTTAGCTAGCTAGCTAGCTAGCTAGCCAGCCAGTCAGTGGCGTTGACTTGTTGAAACTGATATAGCAACAAAATGTTTCACTCTATCCTATAAAACATGACATATTGCTAACTAGGCATCAATTAGCTAAAGCAATTAAAACGTTTATTGGGTATTTTAATTAATAAGTTACACTCACCGGACAACTTTGGTAGTTAGATCACTTGGTTTCCACTTCCAACAGATTTTTGTTCTCCCCGACTGGTCGTCAACAGTTACTGGTATTGGAACTCGTGTTCACCAGAAACTACTTCTGAGTGGTATACAACGAAGCAAGCGAGAACTACTCAGGCTTTTATAAAGCTAGCCAGCTTCAGCTAGCTTCACATTCCAGGTCAGGCTTGTAACTGCGCGTGCATGTCGCACATGGATAGTTGAAAGCCGAACTCTTCATTAAGTCAATGCTGAAACATCAATCCATGAGCGAGTCAGTGCCACCTTTTCCATTTGTGCCGAAATCTAAATGCAAATTCAGGAGGCTATGATGTGAAATAGGCTTTTAGAAGTGCCGTCTTGATTTGATTACTTATCGTCATGCAGTCTTTGGTGTGATTTAGTGTATACAAGCACCTTTTTATCCACTCCTATCGATAAAATCATTGTATTAAGTCATACAAAAGTTTTACTGTGCATGAAGTTTCAAATGCAAAATCGGTCATTACTAAATGTGTAATGTGATAGGTATTTTAACATTACTTATATTTTAACCCCCCAAAAAACATTTGATTATATTTAAAATCAGTCATCTTCCTCAAATGAAGGGAATGAATATGACAATCTTTGCAAGAGGGAGGGAATCTGATTTCACTGATTTCATAAATGGAGTTAGCCACAAGTTAGCCTGCCCCAGAGTGGTTAGTTCAGAGCCCTATACCACGAATACAGTTTGAGGAGTTAGCGAGGTAACTTTGGTCAACTCTGAACTCAACCTGGGACAACCGGTACCACGAAAGTGGCTCACCTTTTAGCCAGGTATATTTCTATGACAACGAATCCTTCAGATCTAACCTCCACTAGTGACAATAAATACTGCATTATATGTGCTTAAGGTTTTCCGCAGATTCACCACTTGTGGCAAATATTTGCAAACTATTTAGTTTGCTGTAAATTTGCGGGACGTTTGCAGCAACAAATTCATTTTTTTAAGGGACAGCTTTCAAAATATCATTGTACCCTAGAGCCCCATTTACAAAGACACCCAAGGCATTTCTAGGAAATAAAGGTGGGTAGTGATGAGATGTATTACTCCCATCCCCCATTCTCCAAAAAGTTCACAATTCTGGGGGGGATGATTCAAGAAATATGCATAATTGGTGGCTTATGTGCATTTTAGGGTTAACTGTGCTCGTGAGTTAGATGTGGTCTGGTTTAAGTCTGTGAGAGCAGATCTTTGGCACCATTATATAATCCCATTCTCCCTAGCAGAGAAACACATCCTGTCTGTGTGTAAGGAGGAGGGCCTGTTCTGCTGCTGCTGTGACATGTTTACTGTCAGATCAGGTAGATCCAGTGGTGAAAGCAGAGCACGAGGGTGTGGTTATCTCTACCCTACCTGATACTCTGCTCTGCTCTGCCTGGCAATGTAGCGCAGTGCTGTATGAAACTCTGTTTTATGACCCATCAGACAGTTTGTTGTTCCAAACCAGCTCCCTCCAATGACTAAACAGCCTGATCATATTATCCTAATTTAATCTGGAGATGCAGCCAAAGGGACACCAGCAAAATGGAAACCAAAACAAAATGCAGACTCGTACACAAACAAGCAGGATGTGCGGTCATAATATCAAGAAGCCACTACCTATCAAATTATTGTAAATAAGAGACTAAAGGCGTCCACATACATACAGTGAGGGAAAAAAGTATTTGATCCCCTGTTGATTTTGTACGTTTGCCCACTGACAAAGAAATGATCAGTCTATAATTTTAATGGTAGGTTTATTTGAACAGTGAGAGACAGAATAACAAAAAAATCCAGAAAAACGCATGTCAAAAATGTTATGAATTGATTTGCATTTTAATGAGGGAAATAAGTATTTGATGGTACATGGCCCCGTCCATCACCCCTTTGATGCAGTGAAGTTGTCCTGTCCCCTTAGCAGAAAAACACCCCCAAAGCATAATGTTTCCACCTCCATGTTTGACGGTGGGGATGGTGTTCTTGGGGTCATAGGCAGCATTCCTCCTCCTCCAAACACGGCGAGTTGAGTTGATGCCAAAGAGCTCCATTTTGGTCTCATCTGACCACAACACTTTCACCCAGTTCTCCTCTGAATCATTCAGATGTTCATTGGCAAACTTCAGACGGGCCTGTATATGTGCTTTCTTGAGCAGGGGGACCTTGCGGGCGCTGCAGGATTTCAGTGCTTCACAGCGTAGTGTGTTACCAATTGTTTTCTTGGTGACTATGGTCCCAGCTGCCTTGAGATCATTGACAAGATCCTCCCGTGTAGTTCTGGCCTGATTCCTCACCGTTCTCATGATCATTGCAACTCCACGAGGTGAGATCTTGCATGGAGCCCCAGGCCGAGGGAGATTGACAGTTCTTTTGTGTTTCTTCCATTTGCGAATAATCGCACCAACTGTTGTCACCTTCTCACCAAGCTGCTTGGCAATGGTCTTGTAGCCCATTCCAGCCTTGTGTAGGTCTACAATCTTGTCCCTGACATCCTTGGAGAGCTCTTTGGTCTTGGCCATGGTGGAGAATTTGGAATCTGATTGATTGATTGCTTCTGTGGACAGGTGTCTTTTATACAGGTAACAAGCTGAGATTAGGAGCACTCCCTTTAAGACTGTGCTCCTAATCTCAGCTCGTTACCTGTATAAAAGACACCTGGGAGCCAGAAATCTTTATGATTGAGAGGGGGTCAAATACTTATTTCCCTCATTAAAATGCAAATCAATTTATAACATTTATGACATGCGTTTTTCTGGATTTTGTTGTTGTTATTCTGTCTCTCACTGTTCAAATAAACCTACCATTAAAATTATAGACTGATAATTTCTTTGTCAGTGGGCAAACGTACAAAATCAGCAGTGGATCAAACACTTTTTTCCCTCACTGTAGGTTTGGTTTTCTCCTAGGCAAAGTGAACGTCTGTGCTCTCATACTACCTTAAAATACCTTTGCTTGATAAACGAGAAAAATGCGGCAATATTACGGTTTGTCCTTCTTGAGACGCTGTATCAACAACATAGCCAGTACAATTCCTCAAATTAGTCAGAATTAATCTAAGATAATTTTAAAAAATCTGTAATTAATTCACTTTTTTTTGTGGGTGTGCGCGTTCCATCTCACCTCATTGTCAGACTCCACCAGGACCTGGTCATACTCGCTGAGGGCCACCAGGAACATGATGGACGTGACGTTCTCAAAGCAGTGGATCCACTTCCTCCTCTCTGACCTCTGACCCCCTACATCCACCATCCTGATTAGACAGGACCAGGATGGAGAGATGAAGGGCGGAGAGAAGTATTCAAAATTAGGCTCAATTCAGGCATTGATGCCATGTTAAAAAAAAGTTTTGGGTGGTAAACTAGGGCATCTAACTAAATCAATTGGTCAAAGTAAAGGAGATTGTAGGTTAGTCCTGTTATCACCTTTTCGGATTCATATTGCCCAACATCTAGCAATGAGGATGGCTAACTGTCATACAAAGCAAACGTATAATGGATATCAGGGAATTAAAAGGATTGTTAAATTGGGAAATTACTGCATTTTAGGTACAGTTGAGAACAGCACTCATAATGCAAAAAAACAACATCAGTGCAAAGAAGCATTCAAACACACAACTATTTGGAAAACATGACCATGAGGACATTATGTTCCTTTCTGGTCAGAGGCCTCATTTATAACGGTTGCGTACATTTCACACACAATTTCACACAAAATGCGCCATTTCTGAAAAGTCTGTACAAAAATATTGATATTTATAAACTTGGCGCACGCCATACTTACGCATGTTTCCAGTTATAAAATCAGACCTGTCATAAAACTGTGCGTGCGTGAACAAGCATTGAAACTCCGCCTGGAAAACGCCTCCATTCACCATTTATGGTTGAAAATAACGCCCTTGATTTGCTGTATAATTTGGAACTATTGGCATTAGGACATGGCATGCAAAAGACGAATTGTTGTTCAATATTTAGTTTATCAATAGATTATTGGGTTTTCATGTCCTGCCTTTGTATAGGCTCTGAGATTAATTAGGCAATGATGTCACGCTCATATTGCACAGCAATACTGTAGCCTACCCATACTGTCAAATATTTATATAAGCTAACGGTCTATTTACTGGCTTGGCAGAATGTTTGAATCTTTAGCAGTAATTTGCTGTATCTGGAAAAGGACTGTCTCCGTTTCTTAAAGAGAAAACAATTGCAAATTGTCATGGACCTGTCAGCAGAACGTTTGAATTCAACAATGTTTTGCATAGACTTTTCCTCCAACCTAAATATGATGGACTGCCTGTGAATTCTGAAACATTGTAGGGCAGGCTACACTTTTTTTCCTAAAATTACATTACTTACAGTAGTTAGTTCTATTTCTTGTGTGTTTTTGTTCTCCTTTACTTTTTATAGTAGGCCTACTACTGATATTCATTACTGCATTGTTGGGAAAGAGCAAGCAAGAAAGGCATTTCAATGTACTTGTGCATGTGACAAAAACTTGAAACTTGATACATAGGCCTACTTCAATGTAAAAGATCAGCTGTTAAATTCGACTGTATACCTGTATTATAAACCGCATTGCCTATGATACTGCAAAACTTGAAACACATAGCCAGCCTATCTATTTACTAGGTCAAATTAAATGAGAGATGCACATGGTCCTTTGTTTTATGGCTCCTTCGGGAATATGAATCCATCACTACCAGAGCTCCTTCGGGAATATGAACCCATCACTACCAGCTCCTTCGGGAATATGAACCCATCACTACCAGAAAAGGTGAGGAATATATTCTGCAATGGTTATGAAAAAAATATATTTTAAAGATTCCTATGTCTAATTATTTTAGATTTTAAAAAATTATCTAAAACAAGAATGGTTGCATTCTTGTTAATCTGCTTTTAGGAATAAGCTTCTCATCATATCCCCAATTTGCACAAAATACTTACTTGCCAGCTTGCAATACAATAACATTTCAACCACTAGCAGATGTGCGTACGTATGGTCTAAAGTTTGCGGGGAGGTGAGCACATTCTCTTGTCAAGTATTTTTTTAAATAAATGCCAACCTTTGCATGATAACTGGCGCATGCACATTTTGGGGTATATTTTGTATGTATGCACGGTTTATAAATGAGGCCCCAGGATTGTCAGTTAGGCAGTTATATGTTAACATACGAGAATTAAACATACTGTACATATAAACATGCACTATCCTGTCAATAACTCAACAACAATTCAGTTTGATAACTTCTTATGCACTAATGTAACTTGCAGTACAGTAAATCAAAGGTGCAAGGAGGGGTTAAACGACCCAAGTTGAACCAAAAAGGAAAGAAGATAAAAATGTGCACTGTGCAGAGCCATATCCGTCTCCCAGCCCGTTCCCAGCTAAGTGGATGCAGGTGTGCCGTTGAGGCCAGATCGGCAGGAATTCACCCTCTTGGAAGCAGCACCTAGTCAGCCAGTGACTGTTCAGATTCAGAGCACAAGCCTAGAAGCAGTGTGGGGAGGGTAGGCCAGCGGTGAGGAGAGGGGATAAGAGGTAGAAGGGGAGGATACAGAGGTGGAAGGAAAGAATACAGAGCGATGGGAAGAGTGGGAGAGCAGAGGGCACCTCTATGATGGCTGCCATGATCCCTCATCACAGATCAAGTAGGGGTACAGAGTGGAGGCAACGATTTGGGAATTCCGCTAGTTGTTTTCCAAACATTATTTTCATGGTTGTGGTTGAATTTTGCATCCATAAATAATCTGATCCATCAATTCAGCAATGATTTTGTTGATGGGAGAGATCTATTAGCCTTTATCCATGTTATTAGAGGAGGATCAGGGCTTTGTTTCTTTCCTAGCGAGCAGCAGCTACCTCCGTCTGTCCCTGGCTGGCGCTGCTGCAAAGTGAGAAGAGGGGCGTTGATAAATGGGGGCCTCTAGAAGCGCCTGCCTAAAATAAAGCTCCTTCAGGTCAGCTGACCTCCTTTCCTGTAGCAGGGATGAGTGACCTACTTAGCAGGATAAGCTCTCCTATGGAGGATGAGCCCAGAGAAATCATGATATTCTCAACCACTTCAAAAGGCAATTAAGAAAGGGAAGCGCTGCGGCCGAACGCAGAAGACGCATGTTTGTCCTCATGAATGCCTGCCTTGTGCAGCTGCTGTGAGTAGTGAGATACCCCCTCACTCTCACACACACAAGGGGTTGGGGTGGAGAGGGGCTCCTTACATCACAAGTCTCTACCGATCTGACTAGCTAAATATTCTCAATGACATTTAATTGCAGATTCTCTGGGTTCTCTCTACAATCCTGAGGAATATCTCTAATATATTATTATATAGGCTGCATGTCCTTAAATACTGCTGTAGTGATTCACAACCTATTCATCCATCCAGTAGCAGCAGTAGGGTGGAGGATTGGAGAGATCCTCTTGAGTCCAACCTCATTGTGGGCCTGGGAGTTATTTCCAGCGCTGCAGCGCGTAGGAGGGGCTGACATGCTGGCTTCCTATCGATTTGCACACTTTTGTAAATCGCTCCCATTCGCCGGATCCATCTCCATCTCTCAATCTCCTCAACATCATCCTCTTTGAGGAGGAGAGAGCCGTTCTACACCGTGGTGCCCAGTGATCAGTCTCTTCCCCTGGCCACATCCAGGAGGATTCCCCCCTCCCCTCTACTGTCCTGGCCCAGACTACAGTAACAGGCAGCATGGCTGGTTATGTCATACTGATACCAGACTGGTTATAGTCCTGGAGTACACGGTTTCTCAACATCCCTGTTATGATGACCATTGCTTCAGATGACTAGCTGACATTTAGCTCATCATTCTACTTCATCCAGTATTGTACCATGCAAAGCAAGGGGCTGAGGTGTCATTCAGTGTACATCTTGAGGATCACATAGCAACAGCTGAGAAAACTTGATGAGCCTGAGACAATTATTATGGAGATCAAAGCAACATTGAGGAATGAAATGAAGCAGCAGGTGAATCAGTGATATAATTTGTTTATGTTGATCTTGTGAGGGAGAGGATGATCTCCAGTCATACAATCAATAGAACATAGAGTGATCAATGTTCTTGGATGTGATCACAACGCAGTCAACATGAATATTGAAAACAAAAAAAATATCATAGGGAAAACAAAACACTGGGGTAGGTAGGGAAGGGAGTTAGGAAAAGTGTGAATGTCTTTCTACCTGAAAATGATGCTTTGCAAGTCGAAAGGGTATTCAATGATCCCTGTGGTGGGGATGCGAACCCTAAGCACATCTTGTTGGGTTGGTAGATAGTTTGGTTCGGCAATACGATCCAGATCGCTTAGATAGCTAGAGACGGGGAGAGAGAGAGAGGCAGGATCGACAAAAAAAAAGAGAGAGAGAGTGAAGCATGGAGGGAGAACCCATTCCTGAGAGCCCTGGGGTTTGACACCTCACCTGCCACCTCTAGCACCCATCATCTCTCAGAAAGTTAGTACAGTCCCTGATGGCATCTCTCAGAGATCTTGCCATAACCTTTCCCATTGCGCCTTAATTCTATTGGGTTCAAATTGAGCCAGTCCAGAAGTCTGGACTAAAGACCCTCTCATCTTTCTCAATTTTTGGTTGTAGTTAGTAGTTGTGATTTGTCCTAAGACAACCTCAGAGCTGCTGATCGTGAGTTAGGAGTCTCAGAGAGTGTGCTACCAGGACCCAAGGCTGTGCGGCCAGCAGCAGTGGCGGGTGGTGGAGACATTACAGTGGCGAGGTAGAGGCAGCACTTCAGACACCAGTACCTGAAGATTATATTCTCCAGGTCAAAAGGGTACTCAATGATGCCAGTAGTGGGCACTCGAACCCGCAGCACATCCTGCTGAGTGGGCACGTACCCCACGGTCGCTATTCGCTCTAAATCTCTAAGGTAACTGTGGAATGAAGGGGGACACATGACACGTGTGTGCCTGATGCTGCACAATCACCTGCACACATGCATACAGACATACACACACACACACACACACACACACACACACAATCTCTTTCTCATGTACACAGAACTACATACAGACACCACATGCAGCACATTTTTATACAGTGCATTCGGAAAGTATTCAGACCCGTTGACTTTTCCACATTTTGTTACATTACAGCCTTATTCTAAAATGAATAAAATGTATTGTTTCCCTCAATCTATACACAATACCCCATAATAACAAAGCAAAAACATGTTTTAATAAATGTTTGCAAATGTATTAAAAATAAAAAAACAGATACCTTATTTACATAAGTATTCAGACCCTTTGCTATGAGACTCGAAATTGAGCTCATGTGCATCCTGTTTCCAGTGATCATCCTTGAGATGTTTTTACAACTTTTGCCAAAAGGCACCTAAAGGCTCTCAGACCATGAGAAACAAGATTATCTGGTCTGATGAAACCCAGATTGAACCATTTGGCCTGCTGAATGACAAGCGTCACGTCTGGGGGAAACCTGTCACCATCCCTAAGGTGAAGCATGGAGGTGTTAGCATCATGCTGTGGGGATGTTTTTCAGCGGCAGGAACTGGGAGACTAGTCAGGATCGAGGGAAAGATGAACGGAGCAAAGTACAGAGAGATCCTTGATGAAAACCTACTCCAGAGCACTCAGGACCTCAGACTGGGGTGAAGGTTCACCTTCCAACAGGACAATGACCAAGACAACACAGGAGTGGCTTCAGGTCAAGTCTCTGGAGAGACCTGAAAATAGCTGTGCAGCGACGCTCCCCATCCAACCTGACAGAGCTTGAGAGGATCTGCAGAGAAGAATGGGAGAAACTCTCCAAATACAGGTGTGTCCAAGCTTGTAGCGTCATACCCAAGAAGACTCGGGCTGTAATTGCTGCTAAAGGTGCTTCAACAACATACTGAGTAAATGGTCTGAATACTTACAGTACCAGTCAAAAGTTTGGACACACCTACTCATTCAAGGTTTTTTCTTTATTTCTACTATTTTCTACATTGTAGAATAATAGTGAAGACATCAAAACTATGAAATAACACATATGGAATCATGTAGTAACCAAAAAAATATTTTATATTTGAGATTCTTCAAAGTAGCCACCCTTTGCCTTGATGACAGCTTTGCACAATCTTGGCATTCTCTCAACCAGCTTCATGAGGTAGTCACCTGGAATGCATTTCAAATAACAGGTGTGCCTTCTTAAAAGTTAATTTGTGGAATTTCTGTCCTTCTTAGTGCGTTTGAGCCAATCAGTTGTGTTGTGAGGTAGGGGTCGTATACAGAAGATAGCCCTATTTGGTAAAAGACCAAGTCCATATTATGGCAAGAACAGCTCAAATAAGCAAAGAGAAACGACAGTCCATCATTACTTTTAGACATAAAGGTCAGTCAATCTAGACAATTTCAAGAACTTTGAAATGTTCTTCAACTGCAGTTGCAAAAACCATCAAGCGCTATGATGAAACTGGCTCTCATGAGGACCGCCACAGGAAAGGGAGACCCAGAGTTACCTCTGCTGCAGAGGGTAAGTTCATTAGAGTTACTAGCCTCAGAAATTGCAGCCCAAATAAATGCTTCACAGAGTTCAAGTAACAGACACATCTCAACATCAACTGTTCAGAGGAGACTGCATGAAATCAGGCCTTCATGGTCGAATTGCTGCAAAGAAACCACTATTAAAGGACACCAATAATAAGAAGTGACTTGCTTGGGCCAAGAAACACGAGCAATAGACATTAGACCGGTGGAAATCTGTCCTTTGGTCTGATGAGTCCAAATGTGAGATTTTTGGTTCCAACCGCCGTGTCTTTGTGAGACACAGAGTAGGTGAACGGATGATCTCCGCATGTGTGGTTCCCACCGTGAAGTATGGAGGAGGTGTGATTTGCTGGTGACACTGTCAGTGATTTATTTAGAATTCAAGGCACACTTAACCAGCATAGCTACCACAGCATTCTGCAGCGATACGCCATCCCATCTGGTTTGCGCTTAGTGGGACAATCTTTTGTTTTTCAACAGGACAATGACCCAACACACCTCCAGGCTGTGTAAGGGCTATTTGAAAGAAAAGCAGCCAACAAGTGCTCAGCATATATGGGAACTCCTTCAAGACTGTTGGAAAAGCATTCCAGGTGAAGCTGGTTGAGAGAATGCCAAGAGTGTGAAAAGCTGTCATCAAGGCAAAGGGTGGCTACTTTGAAGAATCTAAAATATATTTTGATTTGTTTAACACATTTTTGGTTACTACATGATTCCATGTGTTATTTCATAGTTTTGATGTCTTCACTATTATCATACAACGTAGAAAATAGTAAAATTTAAGAAAAACCCTTGAATGAGTAGGTGTGTCCAAACCTTTGACTGGTACTGTATGTAAATGTGATATGAAAAGTTTTTTTTTTTTTTTACATATGCAAAAATGTCTAAAAAACAGTTTTTGCTTTGTAATTATGGGGTATTGTGTGTAGACTGAGGAGAAAAAAAAACAATTTCATCCATTTTAGAATAAGGCTGTAATGTAACACTGTGGAAAAAGTCAAGGGGACTGAATACTTTCCGAAAGCACTGCACATATACATTTCTAAACAAACTATGTTAGTAGCAATAATAACAATTCACACAAGCCTAGGTGCCAGACCATTTCTGCATTCAACAAGGCTACATGGCTGCTTTGCCAAGACAACGTTAAGCTGGCTAGAGCAAAGACAGACTGGCACTCAGGTTCATAGTTCACAGTGTGATAAAGCTGAATAAGGACGAGACCTGAAAACTCTATCATGTAACCTGGCATGTAATGTAAGAGAATGGATGTGGGAATCAATACCGTATACATTAATATAGAGTATTATAGCTGTATCTCCTTACTCCTTACTCATTTTTACAGTCCTGACTCCTGATAACCTTTTCAGAGTCATACAAATATAGAGTAGTCTAATCACTACATTGATTGCGAGTCATATTACTTACTCTGCATTTTAGGGCTGAATAAATCGAGACCTACATCTACATAACAAACATGCCATTCTGGTCTCCACAGGTTAGTTCAACTAGAACTAAGGTGGAGCAGGAGGAGAAATGTTGCTGTCTGTTCTTTATCTTTCCATCCTTCTATCTTTCATTGTTCCCCCCCCCCTTTCTTTTGGTCTCCCTCACTTTCACTTTCTCAAACCACTATTTATCAGACATAGATGATATTCACTACTTCAACTTAAAAATAAATAACTAAAAACATTCTCAATCTCTCTCATTCTAACTCTTCTAAATCTCTAACCACTGTAGCAGTTGTGTGTGTGTGTTTCAAGTCAGGAGTAGACTTACTATTTGGTGGAGTCCGAGAGCTGATATTCACGCCTGCGGTCATAGGCCTCCTGGATGCCAGGGTCTGTCCACAGTATCTTTATTGCACTGATGTAGGGCTGTTCGAAAGAACACACCTTCTCCACGTCCACCTCGCGCACCAGCAGCGCGTTGGACTGGGGGGAGGAACAGGGGAAAGAAGACAACAGGTTAGGAACATGGAAGGAATGGTGGAAGGTGGAAAGCATCATCCACATTTACTGTAACAGAATTCCACAATAATTTAGTAATTTCTTTATTCAGATCGAAAGTATACAGCACAAGATAGGACATATAATTTCCTATTATTTGCATCAACAGCGATGTTAAAGGAAGATAACCTTGTGTTATACTGACAGAATGTTCTCGATATGATTTAGGGCTAAAGACAGACTAGTCTTTCAATAGATACATCCAGGCTTCTCCTCAGCAGTGACTTAGTATCCATACCAGGACAGAACAGATTGGAGTATTAGTCCATTATGTTTTATGGCATGGTTTACGGCCACGTTTATGGTCTATTTGAATATGGTTTGCATTTGATGATGCAGACATACAAGCTGTGGCTGGACAATTCAATGCTGAGATTGCCAGCTAACAACGTTTGCCAGTTAGGTGTCCTATGAGTGGATGAGAATTCAGACAATGCCAGAAGGTAGTCGTCTGTAGCTTTTGGTGGAATATTCATGGCCTAGGCCACTTTGGTGAATTTGCGAGGCATGCAAGACAAGACATTGTGAGACCAAGACATATGAGGACGGTTCTTTCTGCTTGCCCCCTCCACTCTCTCCATCGCGCTGGCTCACCTGCTCTTTCTGCTCGCTAATGATGCGAGTGTGTGTTCAGTCTTTGGTCCGTTGCGTGTAGAATATCCTAGCCCCAGCATTACTGAATTGCCGAGACATTGCAAGCCAAGAAATTTTGCGATACAGCATTCCATTGCGAGATACAGCTTTTGATTGTCGATAGATAGGCCTAGTGCACAGTTCTGACTTTCTGCCTGCTGGCCAACCTGCCTATACAGTGCCCCTCCCCCCGAAAGGTTGCTGGTTCGAATACCATAGCCGTCAAGGTGAGAAATCTGTTGACGTGCCTTTGAGCAAGGCACTTAACCCTAATTGGCATTAACAGCGGCCTGCATGTGTGTTGCTTTTTCTGAGTTCCAGAAAGAGAAGTTAGCTGGTCGGAGCACAATTAGATTAACCCAAGGAGGGATTGCAAAGCCCAGTAGTCTTTTACCCAGTGGGAAACATGGCTATTCCAGTGCTGCTAGTTCTGATTAGATGGGAACAAAAATAGGCAAATGATTAGATGGACATTTACAGTGCCTTCAGAAATAATTCATACCCCTCGACTTAATCCACATTTTGTATTACAGCCTGAATTCAAAATGGATTAACTTAATTATTTTTCTCACCCTTCTACACACACAAACACTACCCCATAATGACAAAGTGAAAACATGTTTATAGAAATTTTTGCAAATGTATTGAAAATGAAATACTGAAATATCTCATTTACATAAGTATTCACATCCCTGAGTCAATACTTTGGCTGCGATTACAGCTGTGAGTCTTTCTGGGTAAGGAAGAGTTTTCCCACACCTGGATTGTGCAACATCTGCCCATTATTCTTTTCAAAATTCTTCAAGCTTTGTCAAATTCGTTGTTGATCATTGCTAGATCATTTTCAGGTCTTGCCATAGATTTTCAAGTAGATTTAAGTCAAAACGGTAACTTGGCCACTCAGGAACATTCACAGTCTTCTTGGTAAGTAACTCCAGCGTATATTTGGCTTTGTGTTTTAGGTTATGCAGTAATGTGTTGTATTTTATTTGCCCCAAACGTAACACTTTGTATTCAGGAACAAAAAGTTAATTGCTTTGCAACATATTTTGCAGTATTACTTTAGTGCCTTGTTGCAAACAGGATGCATATTTTGGAATATTTGTATCCTTCTTTTCACTCTCAATACATTCAGTATTGTGAAGTAACTACAATGTTGTTGATCCATCCTCAGTTTTCTATCACAGTCATTAAACTCTAACTGTTTTAAAGTCATCAATGGCCTTATGGTGAAATCCCTGGGCAGTTTTCTTCCTCTCTGGCAACTGAGTTAGGAAGGACGTCTGTATCTTTGTAGTGACTGGGTGTATTGATATATTATCAAAGGGATATTCAATGTGTGCTTTGTTTATTTACACCTATCTACCAATAGGTGCCCTTTGCAAGGCATTGGAAAACCTCCCTGTTCTTTGTGGTTGAATCTGTGTTTGAAATTCACTGTTTGACTGCAGGACCTTACAGATAATTGTATGTGTGGGGTACAGAGATGAGGTAGCCATTCAAAATCATGTTAAACTCTATTATTGCACACAGAGTAAGTCCATGCAACTTATTATGTGACTAGCACATTTTTACTCCTGAACTTATTTAGGCTTGCCGTAACAAAGGGGTTGAATACTTATTGACTCTACAAATTAATTTAAAAAAGAAAAGTGGAAATTTCTAAAACATTATTCCACTTTGACATTATGGGGTATTGTGTGTAGGCCAGTGACAAAATAAAATCTAAATTCAATCAATTTTTAATTCAGGCTGTAACACAACTAAATGTGGAAAAGTCAAGGGGAGTGAATACTTTCTGAAGGCACTCCCCTTGACTATAAATCAGTCTCCTCTATTCCAAAAACACTGAATCTTAGGGGTCGATTCCTAGCGGAATCGAATCTTGACACTGAGAAATTGGAGTCGGCGTGCAAGGAGTTGAGGAATCAATTATTTTGGATTCGACTCTCCAACACTACGTCATCGTCGTTAACAGTTGGAAAATGGCAGAGAAAGGCAAGTGACAGCAGCAAAGTCCTGTATGGCAATTCTGGCTAAATAAGAAGGAAATGCAAACTATACAAGCTGGAATGGACGTACAGTAATGGTAGTACAGGTGCAATGCTTAACCATCTGAAAGGGACGCCGTGAGACCAAACCGATGCTTGCAGCAGCACAGCTACATTGTGAATACACGTGGTATTTTATGATTTTTTTGTGTCGTTTTATTGGAACATTGAGAAAAGAAAAAGTATGTTTAAACGTTTAGAAAAATTGTCAATTTGGCACATCCCTAGCGCATACATCAGCAGCCAATGACCCATTCAAAAACTACTGTAAGGGCCACTAACCATTTGCTGCTCACATACAGTGCATTCGGAAAGTATTCAGACCCCTTCCCCTTTTCCACATTTTGTTAAGTTACAGCCTTGTTCTAAAATGGATTAAATAAAAATATTTTAAAAAATCTCACTACACTAAAAATAAATAAACAGAAATACCTTATTTACATAAGTACTCAGAACCTTTGCTATGAGACTCGAAATTGAGCTCAGGTGCATCCTGTTTCCATTGATCATCCCTGAGATGTTTCTACAACTTTATTGGGGTCCACCTGTGGAAAATTATATTGATTGGACATGATTTGGAAAGGCACACACCTATTTATATAACGTCCCACAGTTGACAGTGCGCGTCAGAGCAAAAACCAAGCCATGAGGTCGAAGGAATTGTCTGTAGAGCTCCGAGACAGGATTGTGTCGAGGCAAAGATCTGGGGAAGGGTACCAAAACATTTCTGCAGCATTGAAGGTCCCCAAGAGCACAGTGGCCTCCATCATTCTTAAATGGAAGAAGTTTGGAACCACCAAGACTCTTCCTAGAGCTGGTCGCCGGGCCATACTGAGCCAAAAACCTGATGGTCACTGACATAACTCCCAGAGTTCCTCTGTGGGGATGGGAGAACCTTCCAGAAGGACAACCATCTCTGCAGCACTCCACCAATCTGGCCTTTATGGTAGGGTGGCCAGACGGAAGCAACTCCTCAGTAAAAGGCACAACAAGATTCTTTGGCCTGAATGCCAAGCGTCACGTCTGGAGGAAACCTGGCACCATCCCTACAGTGAAGCATGGTGGTGGCAGCATCATGCTGTGGGGATGTTTTTCAGCGGCAGGGATTGGGAGACTAGTCAGGATCGAGGGAAAGATGAACGGAGAAAAGTACAGAGAGATCCTTGATGAAAACCTGCTCCAGAGCACTCAGGACCTCATAACGCTTCCCATCCAACCTGACAGAGCTTGAGAGGATCTGCAGAGAAGAATGGGAGAAACTCCCAAATACAGGTCTGTCAAGTTTGTAGCGTCATACCCAAGAAGACACAAGGCTGTAATCACTGCCAAAGTTCCTTCAACAAAGTACTGAGTAAAGGGTCTGAATACTACATTTACTTTCCCCATAAATGTGATATTTCCATTTTTTATTTAAAAAATTTGCAAAAATGTCTAGAAAGTTTTTGCTTTGTCATTATGGGGTATTGTGATGAGGGCCAAAAACACTTTCAACAATTTTAGAATAAGGCTGTAATGTAACAAAATGTGGAAAAAGTCAAGGGGTCTGAATACTTTCAGAATGCACTATAAGTGATCTCTAATGTGGGGTCTAGATATAGGCCTACATAAGGCTATAATAATAGAAGACATTTCGACTAACAATGTCTTTGTCCAATGAGTGGACCCCTATCCCAATCCCTTCTCCCTATCCCCCAGCCAGACTCACCTTGTTCTGTTCATACTTGTACTGGATCTTGAGGGTCTCGGAGGCCCGGATCATGGACTGCATGGAGGTGAAGATGTTCTGATAGACCAGCTTGGTGAAGCCCCTCTTGTCCTCGTCGGTGTAGCCCGTCCCGTGGATGATGCGCATCTGTTTGATGAAGGTGCTCTTGCCACTTTCGCCAGTGCCTGTGGAGACACAGGACATAACACAGGTTAGACAGAGGTTCCCAAATGTTTTCAGTTTGAGTGCAGTCCACTATCCAAGACCCAGCGATACCAGAGTAAGTGAGTGGAGCGGAGCTGGAGCGGAGTGTGCCAAATTTGACTGGAGCGCGAAGCGATATTCCCAAAGGCCGGAGCGACGGCCTTCTCGCCTGCTCCAATTTCGCTCCAGTAGCGCTCACTTCACAAGCTCAGGGCATGCCCGGCCCAGCATGCATTTGTAGTCTGCTTGCTTTAGCTACTGTCATGGAGTTCGCTAAATATATTCATAAAGAAACTGATAAAACACACAGGTGCAAAATCAAGGTGACTTACAGTGAGGAAAAAAAGTATTTGATCCCCCTTACCCAGAAAGACTCACAGATGTAAATCGCTGCCAAAAGGTGTTTCACAAATTATTGACACAGGGGTGTGAATACCTATGTACAGTGAGGGAAAAAAGTATTTGATCCCCTGCTGATTTTGTATGTTTGCCCACTGACAAAGAAATTATCAGTCTATAATTTTAATGGTAGGTTTATTTGAACAGTGAGAGACAGAATAACAACAAAAAAATCCAGAAAAACACATGTCAAAAATGTTATAAATTGATTTGCATTTTAATGAGGGAAATAAGTATTTGACCCCTCTGCAAAACATGACTTAGTACTTGGTGGCAAAACCCTTGTTGGCAATCACAGAGGTCAGACGTTTCTTGTAGTTGGCCACCAGGTTTGCACAAATCTCAGGAGGGATTTTGTCCCACTCCTCCTTGCAGATCTTCTCCAAGTCATTAAGGTTTCGAGGCTGACGTTTGGCAACTCGAACCTTCAGCTCCCTCCACAGATTTTCTATGGGATTAACGTCGGGAGACTGGCTAGGCCACTCCAGGACCTTAATGTGCTTCTTCTTGAGCCACTCCTTTGTTGCCTTGGCCGTGTGTTTTGGGTCATTGTCATGCTGGAATACCCATCTACGACCCATTTTCAATGCCCTGGCTGAGGGAAGGAGGTTCTCACCCAATATTTGACGGTACATGGCCCCGTCCATCGTCCCTTTGATGTGTTGAAGTTGTCCTGTCCCCTTAGCAGAAAAACACCCACAAAGCATAATGTTTCCACCTCCATGTTTGACGGTGGGGATGGTGTTCTTGGGGTAATAGGCAGCATTCCTCCTCCTCCAAACACGGCGAGTTGAGTTGATGCCAAAGAGCTCCATTTTGGTCTCATCTGACCACAACACTTTCACCCAGTTCTCCTCTGAATCATTCAGATGTTCATTGGCAAACTTCAGACGGGCATGTATATGTGCTTTCTTGAGCAGGGGGACCTTGCAGGCTCTGCAGGATTTCAGTGCTTCACGGCGTAGTGTGTTACCAATTGTTTTCTTGGTGACTATGGTCCCAGCTGCCTTCAGATCATTGACAAGATCCTCCCGTGTAGTTCTGGGCTGATTCCTCACCGTTCTCATGATCATTGCAACTCCACGAGGTGAGATCTTGCATGGAGCCCCAGGCCGAGGGAGATTGACAGTTCTTTTGTGTTTCTTCCATTTGCGAATAATCGCACCAACTGTTGTCCCCTTCTCACCAAGCTGCTTGGCGATGGTCTTGTAGCCCATTCCAGCCTTGTGTAGGTCTACAATCTTGTCCCTGACATCCTTGGAGAGCTCTTTGGTCTTGGCCATGGTGGAGAGTTTGGAATCTGATTGATTGATTGCTTCTGTGGACAGGTGTCTTTTATACAGATAACAAGCTGAGATTAGGAGCACTCCCTTTAAGAGTGTGCTCCTAATCTCAGCTCGTTACCTGTATAAAGACACCTGGGAGCCAGAAATCTTTATGATTAAGAGGGGGTCAAATACTTATTTCCCTCATTAAAATGCAAATCAATTGATAACATTTTTGACATGCGTTTTTCTGGATTTTTTTGTTTGTTATTCTGTCTCTCACTGTTCAAATAAACCTATCATTAAAATTATAGACTGATCATTTCTTTGTCAGTGGACAAACTTACAAAATTAGCAGGGGATCAAATACTTTTTTCCCTCAATGTACAAAGACAAGGACCACAACTAAAGAATTATAGTGGAATCTGAAAAGACATATCTCGAAAGCATGGTGTACTTACTACGTGCACATGCTAAAATAAAGGAACAAGGTGGGTAGCTAATGAAGTGTGCCATTGTAGCAAAGTATTTATTTAAAAAAAAAATCAGATCTCTTAAAAGTTTTCATTTTTTGTTCCATTATCTATACAATAGGCCAATAGCCCTGGCATATTCCAACTTAAGGCCCTTTCCGTTTTGATTAGGCTATTTTGCCCAAAAACCATTTGGCCTACCTATAGAAAAAGCCAACAACTCTGCATCCCTGTCCATCCTGACAAGATTGGGCAAAATGGTGTTTAGCATCCCCAATGGCTCTGCAAGCACGGAGAGGATATTCTCCGCTGCTGGCCTGCTCTCCAGGCACCATCGCATGAGCCTGAAGCCACAGACTCAAAGGCACTGTAGACTGAGCCTAATAAAGCATTTTTCGTTTAATTTGTATTTAATTCTAAGTAAGTCACAGTCTATGAGCAATTTATAGACTATAATGATTGAATACAATTAAAATGTTGTTTAAATGCTGAGCGCTTAATATCTCTGACTCCCTACCAGCCCAGTGTGTCGCACTTGCAAATTCTTCACAATGTATTTCTTTGTAGGCTATAGCCTTGAAATAATTGAAATAATATAGCCTAAATAATTCATTTCCGTTCCTTCTTAGGCTCCCTGTCTGGCTCCTGACCTATTTAGAGTGTTTATATGCTGTTTAATATGACTTGTAGCCTATTTGAAATGATGAGCGCGTGTCCCATGCGACAAGTGCACCATGCGACAAGTGCATGGGACTGATAGCATCCAGAGGGATACTTTGTGCAGGAAAACAGTACAAGTTACTTGTGCATTGTCAAGAGCTATACAGTAACTAATGTCTGGCACCATGCAACATCTTATCAGATGAAGAAAAAAATATGTTGGATGGACGGTCAATAACAGCATTTTCTGGGTCCCAGTGGATGTCCCAAATATTTTGTATCTTTATTTGGACATTTCTAACTGCTGTATCCAACAATGGTACATTTGGGAATGTCGAGTCCAAACCACATAAAGTATAGAGAACGGTTAAGTATGGGTAGAGCACTACCCTGCCTCCCACCTCCCTCTCTAACAAACCATCTCCTCTCCCAGTACCCAGGCTGAGTCACCACAGCTTCAGCAGCTCTCCTCTGACTCTCTTCCTGTTCCTTTCTCCTCTACCCCCTCCCTCCCTCTCTCCTTCTCCTCAGTGCGAGTACTACCCGCTTCCTCTGTTTGCTCTGCAACCTTTGCACACATGCCAGGCTGGAGAGCAACATGAAATAGCTCATTGCATAACGTATTTTCTTTGTCTCCGTAGACTTGGCTGCATGGCGGCTGCTGCAGCTCCTTTCAGAGCTCAGTGGGAAATGTACTCTCTAGCACCATCTTAAATGCAGTTGGTTTGGAAGAGAGTTCTTCAGAGTAGCTACCGAGTTCAAAGCGGTTGAAACGAGGCCATTTCATGCTCTGAGAAAAAAGGCAATAAAACACCACATGTAGGCTAACAAAGGATAGGCCTAGTGTTAGGTGGATGGATTTTGAGGACATAAGCCTTTCTTTTGGACATTGTCCAATTTGACCATTTGCCAGCCAGGGTCTCTCCTATATTTCATCTGGATTTATTTGACGGCAGTTAATAAAGGAATGATCAGTAGGTGTATAATGTGTGTGTGCTGCAGTACTGTACGCTTTACTCTCCTCTCTCTGACAAAGCTGCATTGATGAGTGTCTGAGAGCCCTGACGGGTGTTGGTCTTCCTCAGAGGATCTCTGCTCCTCAGTTAACTAGGTCAGGCCAGACAGAGTTTCCTACAGACAGTCCGACTTCAATGAAAAGGGTCACAATTAGCCTCACACACGGCCCTGGAGACCTCGCTCGCTCACTGACTCCTACTGAATGAAGAGAGGAACCTCAGACACTCAGTGGAACCCTGGAGCCTGCCCTGGGAGACGGGAAGTGAAGGAACATTGTACCATTGTCCTGATGTCATACCAGGTACTGTGTGGAGTTACAGATTAGAAGAACTGGACAAGGCATGAGCAATCAATAGAATCAGGTGGACGGATCGCAGCGGTTGGATTTCCAGGATAAGCGCAGAAGGCACACACAGACCTCAGTCAGGAGTGAGGAAATTCTGGGAGGCAGTATACAATCCGGTGTTATTGTCCTCCTTCCTCAGTTCAAACACACAGCTATGTTACCTAATATCTAGGAAACCATTTACAAATCACCACTAGCACTGTTGCTACACTAGCGTTGATGTAAATTTCTAGTTACCATGGCAACTATTCTATTATTAATGCTTTTAGAAAGTCCTACATGTAACTCAAAATACCCAGTGCACTGCCCACTGAAATCATTTAAAGGCAACTGTACAATGTACCCGTTTATTGATAAAATATTACAAACCAACCACATTTACTAAGGAATAAATCTGCTCCACGGTTCTTTCTCCATGTTTATTTAGTTGGTATTAGACTTGGTTGCCAGAGCACGACTGTAAAGAGGCTTACTTGCTATCAGCTATGAGTACTTCTGGTAATTAGCCTTCTTCTAGTATAATGCTAACCCAGTATCATGATAGGCCTGTAATTATTACGTAATTACCACATCACCATGGACTTCCTGAGTAAATACCATGTAATAAGTGGCCTGTAAAATATTAAAATGTCAGCAAAACTTCAAACACGGAGGAAGAGCCCTCTGACTGACTGTCAGTGAAGCAGAGATGTCACACCTGGCACCAATCCCAGGCCTCACCCTCCATGAATAACCATTAGCTTGAAGTGACTAAATCAAATTAAATGGATCCATTTTGACCGGTGGTGGCAGCAGAGGGCCACGGGATGCATTTCCGCTCCAAACAAATGGAGGGCAATAACTTGAGGCTGAGGTTGGCTTCCTTTCCGAGGAGAAAAACTCAAGAGGAGAAAAATAACTGCGCAGTAAGTGTGACAAAGTCGAGGAGTAAGGCCCAGTTTTGTAAATGATTCTCCAAAATGTTCCCCTGCGATGCGATTAGGCAGCCAGCTCAGCAGAATGTCACTGGGACACTGGCTGGATACGAGGCCCCAGGCTGTGCTCACAGGGAGCCTTCTCTGGGTTAGGCGGCTAGCAGGCCGGGTTTTAAAAGGAACTCAAAACCCTAACACTTGGTTACCCACCCAGCCGGGGAGATTTGCATTTAGGATTCCCCTGTCTTGATGTTGAACAGCTGCTCCGGACAAGTCTAGCAGTAGTGAGATATAACATTCTTCCTTATTCATTTCCTGTGACCCTGTCACAAGATGATCCCTCCCCTCCCCCAGTCCCTCCCCCCCAGGCTGCAGTCTTCCGACCGAATGACAGTCATTTCTCCAGTGCCTTCAGGAGGGAAGTAGGGAGTGGATCAGAGGAGACTGGGAGAGATCGCCATCCGGGTGGATCTGCCTGTCTGTCTGCAGCAGATTCTGTTCTTTCCGCTGACTGGAATCAGAGGAATAATCTGAGTGGGCAGACCGAGAGAGGGAGAGCAGCTCTATTCCAGTTTGGAGAGCACTCCACATTATTTTCCATCTAAAGGACGTACAGTGCCTTCAGAAACTATTCACACCCCTTGACTTTTTCCACATTTTGCTGTGTTATAGCCTGAATTTAAAATGTATTTAATTTAGATTTTTTGTCACTGGCCTACACACAATACGCCATAATCTCAAAGTAGAATTCAGTTTTTAGAAATTTTACAAATTAAAACATTTAAAGCTGCAATGTCTTGAGTCAATAAGTATTCCACCCCATTATTATGGCAAGCCTAAATAAGTTCAGGAGTAAACATTTGCTTAACAAGTCAGAAAATAAATTTTAAGAATAGTGTTTAACATTGTTTTTGAATGACTGCCTCATCTCTGTACCCCACACATACAATCATCTGTAAGGTCCCGCAGTCGAGCAGTCAATTTCAAACAGATTCAACCACAAAGACCAGGAAGGTTTTCCAATGCCTCGAAAAGAAGGGCACCTATGGGTAGATGGGTAAAAAAAAAAAAAAAAAGACAAGAGGAATATCCCTTTAAGCATGGTGAAGTTATTAATTACACTATGGATGGTGTATCAATACACCCAGTCACAACAAAGATACAGGCGTCCTTCCTAACTCAGTTGCCGGAGAGGAAGAAACCGCTCAGGGATTTCACCATGAGGCCAATGGTGACATTAAAACAGTTACAGAGTTTAATGGCTGTGATAGGAGAAAACTGAGGATGGATCAACAACATTGTAGTAACTCCACAATACTAACTTAATTGACTGAGTGAAAAGAACACAAATATTCCAAAACATGCATCCTGTTTGCTACAAGGCGATAAAGTAATACTGCAAAAAATGTGTCAAAGCAATTAACATTTTGTCCTGAATACAAAGTGTTATGTTTGAGGCAAATCAAATACAACACAGTACTGAGTACTACTCTCCATATTTTCAAGCATAGTGGTGACAGCATCATGTTATGGGTATGCTTGTAATCGTTAAGGACTGGGGAGTTTTTCTGGATAAAAAAGAGAAGAAAAAGAAAAAGAAAACGGAATGGCGCTAAGCACAGGCAAAGTCCTAGAGGAAAACCTGGTTCAGTCTGCTTTCCACCAGACACTGGGGGATGAATTCACCTTTCAGCAGGACAATAACCTAAAACACAAGGCCAAATCTATACGAGTTGCTTACCAAGAAGACAGTGAATGTTCCTGAGTGGCCGAGTTACAGTTTTGATTTAAATCTACTTTAAAATCTAGGGCAAGACCTGAAATTGGCTGTCTAGTAAAGATCAACAACCAATATGACAGAGTTTGAAGAATTTTGAAAATGCAAATGTTGCGCAATCCAGATGTGGAAAGCTCTTAAGAGACTTACCCAGAAAGACTCACAGATGTAAATCGCTGCCAAAAGGTGTTTCACAAATTATTGACTCAGGGGTGTGAATACCTATGTACAGTGAGGGAAAAAAGTATTTGATCCCCTGCTGATTTTGTACGTTTGCCCCCCATGGAGGTGGAAACATCATTCTTTGGGGATGCTTTTCTGCAAAGGGGACAGGACGACTGCACCATATTGAGGGGAGGATGGATGGGGCCATGTATCGCGAGATCTTGGCCAACAACCTCCTTCCCTCAGTAAGAGCATTGAAGATGGGTCGTGGCTGGGTCTTCCAGCATGACAACGACCCGAAACACACAGCCAGGGCAACTAAGGAGTGGCTCCGTAAGAAGCATCTCAAGGTCCTGGAGTGGCCTAGCCAGTCTCCAGACCTGAACCCAATAGAACATCTTTGGAGGGAGCTGAAAGTCTGTATTGCCCAGCGACAGCCCCAAAACCTGAAGGATCTGGAGAAGGTCTGTATGGAGGAGTGGGCCAAAATCCCTGCTGCAGTGTGTGCAAACCTGGTCAAGAACTACAGGAAACGTATGATCTCTGTAATTGCAAACAAAGGTTTCTGTACCAAATAATAAGTTGTGCTTTTCTGATGTATCAAATACTTATGTCATGCAATAAAATGCAAATTGATTACTTAAAAATCATACAATGTGATTTTCTGGATTTTTGTTTTAGCTCTTTGGCATCAACTCAACTCGCCGTGTTTGGAGGAGGAGGAATGCTGCCTATGACCCCAAGAACACCATCCCCACCGTCAAACATGGAGGTGGAAACATTATGCTTTGTTGGTGTTTTTCTGCTAAGGGGACAGGACAACTTCACCGCATCAAAGGGACGATGGACGGGGCCAAATCTTGGGTGAGAACCTCCTTCCCTCAGCCAGGGCATTGAAAATGGGTCGTGGATGGGTATTCCAGCATGACAATGACCCAAAACACACGGCCAAGGCAACAAAGGAGTGGCTCAAGAAGAAGCACATTAAGTTCCTGGAGTGGCCTAGCCAGTCTCCAGACCTTAATCCCATAGAAAATCTGTGGAGGGAGCTGAAGGTTCGAGTTGCCAAACATCAGCCTCGAAACCTTAACGACTTGGAGAAGATCTGCAAAGAAGAGTGGGACAAAATCCCTCCTGAGATGTGTGCAAACCTGGTGGCCAACTACAAGAAACGTCTGACCTCTGTGATTGCCAACAAGGGTTTTGCCACCAAGTACTAAGTCATGTTTTGCAGAGGGGTCAAATACTTATTTCCCTCATTAAAATGCAAATCAATTTATAACATTTTTGACATGCGTTTTTCTGGATTTTGTTGTTGTTATTCTGTCTCTCACTGTTCAAATAAACCTACCATTAAAATTAGACTGATCAATCAGCAGGGGATCAAATACTTTTTTCCCCTCACTGTAAATCAGATCTTTCTGTATTTCATTTTCAATAAATTTGCTAAAATTTCTAAAAACATGTTTTCACTTTGTCATTATGGTGTATTGTGTGTAGAAGGGTGAGAAAAATAATTAAGTTAACCCATTTTGAATTCAGACTTTAACACAAAATGTGGAATAAGT